CCTGTCCTCACTGACAGTCACCTGTCCTCACTGACAGTCACCTGTCCTCACTGACAGTCACCTTTCCGCACTGACAGTCACCTGTCCTCACTGACCGTCACCTGTCCTCACTGATGTCACCTGTCCTCACTGACAGTCACCTGTCCGCACTGACAGTCACCTGTCCGCACTGACCGTCACCTGTCCTCACTGACAGTCACCTGTCCTCACTGACAGTCACCTGTCCGCACTGTGTCCAAGCGCATTAATAGAGAGGCGAAGTGAAGGAAAAGATGTGGTAGAAAAAATGTGTACAAGGAATAGGGATAACCACAACCTGGAGAAGATGGGGAAACAAAACCCATTCCAAAATGAGGGGGAGATTCACAAAGTGGACTGCAGCTGAAGTCAGTGCTTCAAGAACCACCATGCACAGACCTATGCAAGACTTAGGTTTCAGCTGTCGCATTCCTTGTGTCAAATCACTCGGTCTTGAACAAGAGACAGTGTCAGACGCGTCTTGCCTGGATTAAAGACTGGACTGCTGCTGAGTGGTCCAAAGTTATGTTCTCTAATGAAAGTAAATTTTGCATTTCCTTTGGAAATCAAGGTCCCAGAGTCTGGAGGAAGAGAGGAGAGGCACAGAATCCACGTTGCTTGAGGTCCAGTGTCAAGTTTCCACAGTCAGTGATGGTTTGGGGGGCCATGTCATCTGCTGGTGTTGGTCCACTGTGTTTTCTGAGGTCCAAGGTCAACGCAGCCGTCTATCTGGAAGTTTTAGAGACTTGATGCTTCCTGCTGCTGACCAACTTTATGGAGATGCAGATTTCATTTTCCAACAGGACTTGGCACCTGCACAGTGCCAAAGCTACCAGTACCTGGTTTAAGGACCATGGTATCCCTGTTCTTAATTGGCCAGCAAACTCGCCTGAAAAATAGATATAGATAGATATAGATATAAATAAATAGAAAATCTTTGGGGTATTGTGAAGAGGAAGATGCGATACACCAGACCCAGCAATTCAGAAGAGCTGAAGCAACCTGGGCTCTCAACACCTGAGCAGTGCCACAGACCGATCGACTCCATGCCATGTCGCATTGTTGCAGTAATCCAGGCAAAAGGAGCCCCAACTAAGTATTGATACTGTACATGCTCATACTTTTCATTTGGCCAACATTTCTAAAAGTATATATATTTTAAATTGTTTTTAATATTCTAATTTTCTGAGATACTGAATTTGGGGTTTTCATTAGTTGTCAGTTATAATCATCTACATTAAAAAAAACATTTGAAATATATCAGTTTGTGTGTAATGAATGAATATAATATACAAGTTTCACTTTTTGAATGGAATTACTGAAATAAATAAATATTTTTACAATATTCTAATTTTATGACCAGCACCTGTAAATAAAATCTTAATGAAACTTCATGTCGGACATCCGGTTGTTGAACGTTACACCTGGAAGATATTCAGATGTTTGCAGATGATGTTCTGGTTTATGTGACTTCATCCTTCCAGCCTTCTTGTTCAGTGTCTGCAGAAACCAGAGCATCATCTACAAACGTCAGATTTTTTTTTACAACTTTCAGGTTAACCATTCTGAAAAACCAGACTTCTTACTAGAAGCAGCATCTGATAGTTTTGTTCCGTTAACCTGGACTGTGTTTTCTGGTTTGTAGACGATGTCAGCGACTCAGACCCAGAAAGAGGGCGGTGAGGCAGGATGGGTGAGTCTGGAGTCTCTGGGTCTCAGTCAGAAGGAGCTGGTTCTGGCTGAGGCTCTGCAGATGGAGTATGATGCACTCTCCAGACTCAAACAAGACAAGAACGGGACCACAACCAACCAGACTGAACTTCGACCTCCAAGTCAGATCCGCTCCAAGCCTCCAAATCCATCCTTGAATCATCCTCGACCCAACCCCAGCCTGCACATCCCAGACCTCACAGGAGAGAACCTGCTTACCGGACTTTCTGGGTCAGACTCCTCCTTAAACCAGCCCGGGGGTTCCCAGGGTCCCCTTCCCCTCCCACCTAGGCCCACCCCTCCTCTGGTGGGTTTTAAAGAGTCCCCCTACATCCTTGACAGTCTGGAGTTCTTGAAGTTCAGAGATATTTCCGGTTCCAGCCCTGGGGACTCTTCTGGACTTGGTTCAGGGTTTCTCTCCAAAGGCCTTGTGACACTCACAGATGATCTTCCCCCTGCCATTCCACCCAGACAGCCTATCCCCCCACCCCCAAGGTCAGAGAACTCCTTCCTGGTCCCCGGACCGTCCACCGAGCCCAGAGATGTGAACCTGTTCACCCCTGATGTGGACCAGCACAAATTGACCTCGGCAGAACTGAACTACGACACCATCAACGACTCACTGGCCTCAGCTCAACTCAACGAGTTCAGACCGCCACCACGAGTTCAACACACCAACGAGGACCAATCAGGAAAGCCCGTGACTCGCAGTAAGACTCTCCCCCCTCAGCTGCCTCCCAGGACCTACACATCTGTCGTGAAGAGCAACAAGAACCAACGGAGGGTTTCTGCTGACCCGGTAGGTGGTGCTGTCTCTTATTCATAAATTTCATTACCTTAAGAGTTTCGTGAGAAAAAGGGCCTCCTCCATGACCAGAAGGTTTGGAACCTGCAAGACCAGGATCACAAGGTCTGGGTCCAAGTTCCTGGGTGAATAAGTATGGACTCCAGCGTTGCAGTGGTCACATGAGAAGAAGTACAGATTGGGGGCAGCTTTGATTTGTTGTGGGGACAAAACGCCCCCCTTGGATGACGCCAGGGGAAAGACTGCCCTGGGTGGGTCATCGGGTCCTTCAGGTGGATTAAAGAGTTGATCTTTGGGCTGATGGTCTGAGCACAGAACCAGTGGATGAAATGTCTGAAAAGCATGAAGGAGGTCACATGACGTGTTTATTTCTTGTTGGTCACATGACACCACTTCTACAGCCTGTGTGTTTCTACTTTAAACCTGACTGTCTGATTGGTCCATAGTAGGTCTGCTCTGATTGGCTGGCTCTGTGTGATTGACAGGTGTCACTGGGCTCCAGGACAAGCGGGTTTGGATTCGAGCTGTTCCGGGTGTCAGAGGAAAGAGACGAGGAAGTGGCCGCTTTTTGTCATATGTTGGATGTGTGAGTGACACTGTCGCCATGGCGATGCTTGGCTTTTATTCAAACGGGAAGTGATGTCAGAAAAGTGTTTAGAAATTTCTGCTGAGATACAAAGAAAACATGTCACATGACAAGAACAACCAATCAGAACTTTATATCAACCAGAAAGTCCTCCACAGTTGTTTTAGTTCAAACATCTGTAGCCAGATGTTCCTGCCGGTTTAGGTGGTTCAGGTTTAGCTGATTCACAATCAGATGGTTCAGGTTTAGCTGATTCAAGTTCAGATGGTTCAGGTTCAGGTGATTCAGGGTCAGCTGGTTCAGGTTCAGGTGGTTCAGGTGGTTCAGGTCAGTGCTGGCGGTGTGAGCAACATCACAGTATTTTTCGGTGTTTGTGCACATTTTGTACTGATAGAGGGGGAACCTGCTGCAGTGAAGTGTCCTTGAACAACCTCCTCCGCTGTCGTGCCCACACAAATACTCGTTCCAGTTTTCAGGACAGTGTCACTAATGAATTGAAGCAATCACATGGCATGACTGTTGCAGTGAAAATAAAAAAAACTTTAATCAAACATCTTTTCAAAAACTTAACAGCTATGATTTTCAAAACTTAACTATCTTAAAAAGAAATGTTTATATCTTATTTGTAAACCAACTACATTCTTAGTGAAGTCAGTGGTAAATGGACTGTACCTATACTCTGGCTTGGCTTCGTCTCCGAAGATCATGAAGGGTGTTCACGACTGCAGACCCTCTGGTGGCTGATGAGACGGATCCTGGAGCGGCGGTCTCGGCCACAGCGGCTGCAAGTGAATGTGAATGTCTGGTCAGGGGTGGGAGTGGGTGCTCTGTTCTTTCTCCTGCTTTGCTTGTCCTCCAGGCTAGCACGTCTTTTTGTCTCAAAGGACCCCACTGCCTTGTGGATGGTTGACCGCCAGGCTTCACGGTCAGTGGTGAGCGTGGACCAGTTTTGGGGGTCGATATGGCTCACATTCAGGGAGGCCTTGACGAGGTCTTTGTATCATTTACGTGGCGCCCCTCTCTTGTGCCACCCAGAGGACAGCTCACCATACAATACAATCTTTGGTAGGTGGCGGTCCTCCATCCTGGACACATGCCCTGCCCAACGTAGGCAAGTCTTGAGCAGCATTGCCTAGATGCTGGTGATCTCCGCCTGCTGGAGGACCTCCACGTTGGTTATGAAGTCGCTCCAGTGGATGTTGAGGATGGAGTGGAGACGGCGTTTGTGGAAGCGCTCGAGGAGCTGTACATGGCGGTGGTAGGTGACCCATGATTCGGAGCCGTACAGGAGGGTGGTCACTACAGTAGCTCTGTACACACTGATTTTGTTCCTCGTCTTCAGGTCTTTGCTTGACCTCACTCTCTTGCGGAGTTTGCCAAATGCGCTGCTCGCTTTGGCCAATCTGCTGTCGATTTCTTTGTCGATCTTAGGGTCTGAGGAGATGATGCCCCCAATATAGTTGAACTGCTGGACAACTTTCAGCTCTGTCTTGCCAATGTTGATGTGAGGGGGATGGTACTGCTCACTAGGTGCTGGTTGGTGTAGCACTTGCGTCTTCTTCAGACAGACCTTCAGACCAAAGTGCTGGGCAGCGTCTGTGAAGCTTGTATTGTATATGGGCTGTACCTGTACAGCTCCTTTCTGTCTACAGTAATCAAGATACTCAAAGCACTTCACAACACAATCTGTGCCCTCACTTACCTCCACAGTCCACACACATTCATACAGCACTCTACTACACACACATTCATGTTCCAGCATCAACATGTGGCATGGAGGCTGCACAGCTGCAGAAAGAAAAGCTTTGCAGAGAGTGGTGAAGGCTGCACAGAAGATGTTGGAGTCAGTCTCCCCTACATCACAGACATCTACACCTCTAGATGCAGGAAGAGGGCCTCCTGCATCATGAAGGACCCCACTCACCCAGCACACACACTTTTTGCCCCGCTCCCCTCAGGAAGGAACTGACATTAAGCGTAGCGGAGCATTAAGTGTAGAACCACTAGACTGAGGAACAGCTTCTACCCTGAGGCTGTTAGACTCATGAATCCCTAACCACTTCAGAGGTACTTTGTTGAATTGCACTGAATGAGTCTTGGACAAGGGCAGCACGGTGGCGCAACTGGTAGAGCTGCTGCCTCTCAGCGAGCAGGTCCCTGGTTCAAACCCCGGTCCAGGGGCCCTCTGGGTGGAGTTTGCATGTTTTCTCCGTGCATGCATGGGTTTTCTCCGGGTACTCCGGTTTCCTCCCACAGACCAAAAACATGCATGTTAGGCTGATTGGTAACTCTAAATTGTCCCTAGGTGTGAGTGAGAGAGTGAATGGTTGTTTGTCTCTATGTGGCCCTGTGATGGACTGGAGACCCGTCCAGGGTGTACCCCGCCCCTCGCACAGTGATTGCTGGACATGGGCACCAGCGACCCCCGTGACCCAAAATGGAATAAACGGGTAAAGATAATGGATGGATGGATGGAGTCTTGGACAAAGTAAACATTTTACCTTAATGAAAAGGAAAAAAATACACTAACGTTAATAACAAACAATGAGTGTGCAACATGCAGTATTCAAGTACTGAAAAAAAACACATGTATCTTGGCTTTCAGTATTATGTAAACAATATTGATAAATTAAACATCTTGCCCTCATTAAATTACAACAATAAACAACAATAAACTTAAATCACAAGTGTGCAACATCCAGTATTAAATAACAGTAAATAACAATGAGTATTGAAAAACATAAAATGCAGCATGGCTGCAGTAAAACATTACTCTCACATTTTGAACAATAGAAGGAAAAGCACAGCATCTGGTTTGATGGCTGCCCTGGGGCTCGTGACAATGTCCCCCCCAGTGCTGAAAGCTCTCTCTGATAGACAGCTGGCAGCAGGAATACGTACGTATCCTTTAGCTAGCTTGGAAACTTGGGGGAAATTTATAAGAGAAGGCAGAAACCTTTTTTGCAGGCCTCAACTGCACGATGTATTCAGTCATCTTTCACACCCGTCTCTGTAAAAACACCAAACAAGTGTTTTAGTTTAAGTCTAACACAAGATTTTCCTTTATTAGTTCCTCTAGGGAAATTTACAGAGTTGCTGCAGGAAGAAAAGCAGGAAAGAAAATTTTAAAACATACCCTCTGGTTATACAAGAAAAAATTAAGAATAATACGAATAAAAAAGTACTGAGTACATTGCACATTGTCTATTCAAAAAGCGTTCAATACAAAAACAACTGGACTTTATTTGTAACAGAAGACGTCCAGTTGTTTTTGTATTGAACGCTTTTTGAATTCATCATGTCCTGGATGACTGAGAATCTTCACCAGCACATTGTCTATTGCATTGCAACTGATATATTGCACACTGTATCATTGTAAGTTTATGACCAAGAATCCATCCATCCATTAGCTTTACCTGCTTCTTCCTTTTTGGGTTGCGGGGTCACTGGTGCCCATGTCCAGCCATCACTGTGCAAGAGGCAGGGTACACCCTGGACAGGTCTCCAGTCCATCACAGAGACACATAGAGATAAAAAACCATTCACACTCACTCACACCTAGGGACAATTTAGAGTTACCAATCAGCCTAACGTGCACATTTTTGGTCTGTGGGAGGAAACTGGAGTACCCAGAGAAAACCCACGCATGCACGGAGAAAACATACAAACTCCACCCAGAAAAGACCCCAGACCTGGATTTGAACCAGGGACCTGCTCGCCAGTTGCGCCACCGTGCTGCCGGAATACCAAGAATAAATTAGAATAAAAAATGCAGAGTGTATATTCAATCCAATTCAAGTCAGTTTAATTCTGTAGCTCCAAGTCCCAACACACGTCATCTCAAGGCACTGTACAAAAACATGCACATGCATTAAAAAGACAATTAGTAAAAGTTCTCTATCTGAGGAAGCAGCAGATTGTGTTGAATCTTCACTTTGTCACAGTCTCCAATCCTGAGCAAGCACAAAGGAGACAGTGGAAGGGAAAAACTCCCTTTTAACGGGAAGAAACGTCCAGCTCAGGGCAAGCGGCCATCTTCTTTGACTGGCTGGGTTTGGACCAGTTCATTACACTCATTGTACAGTTCTTAATCTATGTGTTTTGCTTCAGTTGTTTATAAAAACTTACTGTTTCAGTTACTGTAACATACCTATGACTGTGTGAAGCCTGGGCCCAAAGCACTGCAGTGTCCACTTGTTGATGTGGACGACCTTTGTGATGTTGGCTCCACTGTGGTGATGGCCACTAGCTTGTGCTCTGCCAGTCCTCAGGAGTCCAGTGCTTCCTGCAAGCCTCCATCAAGCAATTCCTCAATGTGGTCATTTGGGAAGTAGCTTGTTTGGAGGCAATAGCTTTTTAAAAGCCAGTCTTTGTTAATGAAATGAACCGTCAGGCTCAGATCTGGCTCCATAGTGCGGCTTGACCACATATCTGCTGTTGTTGCAGTGTGGGACTGTAGCCACCTCTGATTGTACCTTTCCTGTGTGCTCTTGGTACAACGTGAGGATCGCTATTTGGCCAGAATATTTGTGACTTGGCACCACATAGCAGCAATCCAGCATTATGACCGTAGCTCTGAAACCTTTTTTTTTCCCACAGTACGTAACGGAACCCTGTCTTCAGGTATATAACTGATGATGTTTGTTACTTGAACCCACCACTTGCTTGTTTGGTTGTAGGGAGTACATCTGGCAAATGCTTCTGTAAGGGATGTTTGTCTCGAGTGTCCTGAAGCTCGTCCAGTTTTGGATGTGGACGGTGCAGATTGTAGTTTTTAAAAAGTCTGTATTCCAAGACATCTTTGCAACTGAGGTGGTGGAGCAAATTGCTTGTGTTGCCTGTGGCAACAACTTTAACTTGACGGTTTGCTGAATACCATTGTTTAATCAACATCCGAGCTTTTAAAGCCAAAATACTTCAACACAACAGAAACCATCCCTTTTTAGGCACAAGTTCTTCTTGAGCATCACCCTCAACTCTTTCTTCTACTACAGCTTCTCTTTCCAAACTTTGTGTCCATCTCTACCATGCTCAATGCCTCCAACAACACTAGCTTGCTTTGTGCTGCTCTGTTTCCTGCCTGTGCGTTCAGCAGTGCAGCAAAGAAAAAGGTCCCCCGTGAAACAGTTTATTGGCGGGTGCAATGTTCCGAATATTGTTCAGGCTAATTAATTAAATTTTGGTACAAACCGATATACCGCCCAGCTCTAGTTCAGGTGGATCAGGTTCAGGTGCAGCTAGTTCAGGTTCAGGTGGATAAAGTTCAGGTGGTTCAGGTTCAGTCCACAGAGAACATGAACAGGAAGTGATGTCACCTGAGCTGTGACATCATCAGTGTGTGTTCCAGGCTGCGCTCGGCGTACCCGCACAGCGACGGCTCCAAGAACGCCGGCTTCGTGTGGGCGCCATCGGTCGGCCATGATGAGCTGCATCAGGCTCTGGGAGTGGGCGTGAAGGTGACGGTGGTCAGCGAGGACTTCAGGGAACCTCTGACCTTCACCTGCGATGGTAAGAACCTGCCAAGGTTCCATTAGAACTCCTAGAGGCCCAATAACTGTTGGTCTCTCTCTCGCTCTCTCGGTCTCTCTTTCTTTCTCTGTCTGTGTGTCTCTGTGTGTGTGTGGTCAGAACCGAACGTGGACTCAGTGAATCTGCATCAGAACCGTGCTGCTGCTTGAAGGGTTCTGTAGGACCATTTCAGACCCAGGTATGGACAGTAACACCACGCTCTGTGTGTCTCAGGTTCTTCCACAGTGGATCTGCTCATCTACCAGACTCTGTGCTACGCTCAGGACGACTTGGACCACATGGACCTGAACAAGTACCTCCTGAAGGTCTGCGGACTAGAGGAGTTCCTCAACAAGTAAGAACCAGAACCAGAACTAATGATTTAAGGTTTGTGGTTTCGATTCTCAGTTCCATGAAGGAACCAGGTCCAGCTGTATATTCTGCAAAAGTTCCACCTAAATAAAGGAAGAGGACTTCATCACCCAACCATGAGTTTCAGTTCCAGCAAAACCTTTACTGTGTCCAGATGTTTTCTCCTTGCAGTCATTTGCTGAACATCTGCATTCACTCATCAACTTTCTGCTGCAGTAAAACTGATAAAACAGGTTTAAACATTTTATTCTTCAAATCAAGCCAAGTCAAAAGTGTTGAGTCATAAAATTGTTTCACTTTTATTTCCTGTTGTAGTGTTTTGATCTTCCTCGTTGATTCCTGAATCTTTTGTTTTTCCTTCAGTTGATGTGATCAAGCAGCACATTGGACTCAGTGTTACATTTAGAATTAGAACCTGTTTGTTGTTTCAACTTCTGGTTTCCTGTTTCCAATGCCTGATTCTGCTACCTGCAGCAGCTTGCTGATGTCAAACATTCTGAAGGTCCAACATTCTGAAGGTCCAGCAGTCTGAACTGCTGGACCTTCAGACCTGAGACTGCTGGTTTACTTTGACTGCAAAACACACCATTGTTGAAAAAAAAAAAACAACATTCTACCTGTGTTGGATTATGGAGACATAATTTACAGACATGCTTGTAAGGGTGTCCTTCATAAGCTGGATGCAATTTATCACTCTGCTATTGGCTTTGCTACAAATGCTCCTTATTGAACACATCTTCAGGGAGGCCGCTTTAAATGAAGGAGAACTGGATCTGGAGGAATACTGTACACATCTGCTGTCCTCTGATACATCAGCAATAGTGTTGATGATGTCACCACCACCAGGACTGTGATGTGCTACCCGAACCAGAAACCCTGGCTGAACGTAGAGTTACGTACCCTGCTGAAAGCCAGGGACACTGCCTTCAGGTCTGCCGACTCGCAGGGACTGGGGAGGGCAAGGAAAGAGCTGACTGCTGGTATAAAGAGGGGCAAAGAAACATATGCACAGAAGATCCAGGGACATTTCTCCTTACAGGACCCAAGGAGCATGTGGAAGGGCATTAAGTGCATCACAGACTATAACAGCAGAGGTGCACAATGCCCTAGGGACCCATCACTGCCAGATGCTCTTAACAGGTTTTATGTCTACTTTGAAGACATGAACAGACCACCCAGCATCAGACTCACCTCACCATCTGAAGAGGAGTTCCTCAGTGTGACATCAGCAGAAGTAAGGAGGACCTTCAGGAGGATTAATCCTCACAAAGCCACTGGCCCAGACAACATCCCGGGGAGGGTGCTGAGAGACTGTGTGATCAGCTCAACGAGGTGCTGGCTGACATCTTTAACTCCTCCCTCAACCTATCAACTGTTCCCACCTGCTTGAAGACTGCTACCATTATCCCAGTCCCAAACAGCTCTACAGTGACTGGTTTGAATGACTACCGGCCAGTAGCCCTCACCCTGATAGTCGCTAAATTAATTGGAAGAACGGTCATGACCCACATCAAAGCTACCATCGACATCAGCGAGGACCCCCATCAGTATGCATACTGCAAGAATCGATCAACAGAGGACACCATCTCCTCTGCGGTCCACACTGCTCTCACCCACCTGGAGCAGAAGAACTCCTACATCCAAATGCTCTTTGTGGACTTCTCATTTGCCTTGAACACCAGACTTCCTCAGACCCTGATGGACAAACTATTCACACTAGGACCAAGCCCCTACTTATGTAACTGGGTCCTGGATTTCTTAACCAACAGTCCGCAGTCTGTGAGGATCCACAACTTCTCATCCTCAACCATAACCTTAAGCACTGGCTCCCCTCAGGGCTGTGTGTTGAGCCCCCTCCTGTTCACTCTGCTCATGTATGACTGCACACTTACCCATTCAGACTGTCATATTGTAAAGTTTGCAGACCATACAGCAGTGGTTGGATGCATCACAAACAATGATGAGTCCAGCTATAGACAGGAGGTGGAACACCTGGAGAGCTGGCGCAGGAAGAACAACCTTCACATCAATGTGAAGAAGATGAACAAGATGACTGGGGATTTCAGAAGGAGCAAATGCACCTACCCTACCCACACCCATTAACATAGCAGGATCTGCGGTGGAAGTGGTCTCCAGTTACAAGTACTTGGGTGTACAGCTGAACAACAACCTCAGCTGGGGCAACAACACTACCAGCCTGATCAAGAAAGCACATCAGAGACTCTACTTCCTCAAGTGGCTGAGGTGAGCTGGACTGGTCCTCACCTCCTCCTACTGGTGTGCAGTGGAGAGCATCCTGTTCTCTAGCATCAACGTGTGGCATGGAGGTTGCACATCTGGAGAGATGGAAGCTCTGTAGAGAGTGGTGAAGGCTGCACAGAAGTCTTTTGGAGTCAGCCTCCCCACCATCACAGACATCTACACCTCCAGCTGCAGGAAGAGGGCCACCTGCATCATGAAGGACCCCACTCACCCAGCACACACTTTTTACCCCACTCCCCTCAGGCAGAACGTTGTGGTGCATTAAGTGTAGAACCATTAGACTGAGGAACAGCTTCTACCCTGAAGTTGTTTGCCTCATAAATCCCTAACAAAAATCCATGTAAATTATGAACTCCTACACTACTGTGGAGAAATGAAACCTAGTTTCGTTCAATTTTGCCTGGCAATAAAGTTTATATTTATTTATTTAATATTTTATTTTATTTTTATTTAAGGGCCTTGCTCAAGAGCCCAGAGGGGGGCTAATCTGGGGAGTCGAACCGACAACTTTCTGATGACAGGCCTACCTTCTCTTTTAACCCCTGTCTGTCTATGTCCTGTTTGTCTCTGTCCTGTCTGTGTCTCAGCTCTCAGACTCTGGCCGGTTTGGAATTTGTCCAACAATGTCTGAAGTTCGACTTAGACATTCGACTGTTTCTGACCAGGAGATCTGCCATTGATACCAAACTGGCCCGCATGGTGCGGAAATGCACACACACACACACACAACCACACACGCACAATTATTTGTCTAATAATAAAATGAGTTGTCCTCCTTGGAGTCTGAGTACAAATCTCTGCCCGTTTTGAGCCTGTTCACTGAGCTCCGCCTCTTTGAGTCTGAGTATAAAGCTCCTCCCCATTTGAACCTGTTCACTGAGCTCCGCCCCTTAGCTTAAACTAATTAAACCATTATTCTACAGCGTACTAACATGCTACTTAGCATGTAAGATGGAGGATCACTCAGTAGCTGTGTCGATGTCACAGTTTACCATTTAACCTCTGTAGCTGGACTGAAGCCACAAACCTTCCTTTTATTGCCCCTTTCTGTTTAGAGAAGGTAACAAAATTAAAAACAATTCATTTTAATTCCATCCGCTCTGACTGCAACATAGCCATTAATTCCACTTCATCACACTTTTAGTTTTTTTTAAGTGTTGCTTTCTGCAGTTTTTGTTCATACAGGTAAAAACATAAAATTTACTGTAAATTCACAGACGTTTCAACATTTAAATGGCTTCAAAATATCAGTAATGCAGAATTTAAATATATAAAGTAACTGAATTAAAAATGCTAAATGTGGAATACACACATATTAAAGTGTAGCAATGAAAGTGTCCAGGTGAGCAGCAGCTACTGAAGCACTCACTCATCAGGTGTTCCTGACAGAAAGAAGACGACGACACGCCGTCCTCCATGAACCACTGCATCCTGCTGCAGGAGCGTCCAATCAAACAGACCATCACCAGGTGAGGGGCGGGGCCTAGATTTAGAGCTCTTATTGGTTCATTTTAGAAACCAAGACTTGATAATGAGCATTTTTGTGTTTCATCAGAGAGGCGCTTACTCTGCTGCTCGATACGTTTCATAACGAAGCAGAGTCCTTCCTGCTGTCACAGGTAACACACACACACCTGTCACAGGTAGCATACACACACCTGTCACAGGTTACATACACGCACCTGTCACAGGTGCCTCACCATCCATCCATTATTAAATTCAGTTTATTTCTGTAGCTCCAAGTCCCAACAGAAGTCGACTCCGGGCACTGAACAGAAACATTCACAGACATTATAAAAGTTGATCAGTAAAAGTTCTCTCTCTGAGGAAGCAGCAGATTGTGTTGAATCTTCACTTCACCACAGTCGCTCATCCTGAACAAGCACAAAGGAGAAAGTGGAAAGACAAAAACTCTTTAAAACAGGAAGAAACCTCCAGCAGAACCAGGCTCAGGACGAGTGGCCATCTGCTTCAACCAGTTGGGTTTGAGAGGAACAGGAAGTAGAAACAGACGAACACAGAATGACAGGTCCAGATGAACTTTCTATAGGAGGAAAGACAAAAAATGTTAAGATAGAAATAATTACAAATACAAACAGGAAGAGTAGAGCAAGTAAAGACAGCAGCAGAGAGAGAAAATGAGGTCAATTTGTCCTCCAGCTGTCTAAGACTATAGCAGCAAAACTAAGGGATAATTCAGGAAACCCAAGCTGACCCTAACTAGGATTTATCAAAAAGGAAAGTCTTAAGGAGGATTCATGGCTCGGTGAGTATGGGACTGGGGGCCCGTTGTTATGGGCTGTTCAGTCTTTATACAAGCAGTGTGAGAGTTGGGTTTGCATTGCTGGTAGTAAGTCGGACCCTTCAAGGTGGGAGTTGGACTCCGCCAAGTCTGCCCGTTGTCACTGATAATATTCATAACTTTTATGGACAGAATTTCTCAGTGCAGCCAGGGGGCAGAGGGTTTCCAGTTTGGTGACCTCAGGATTCCATCTCTGCTTTTTGCAGATGATGTGGTCCTGTTGGTATCATCGTGACGTGATCTTCAGCTCACTGGAACAGTTCACAGCCAAGTATGAAGCGGCTGGGATGAGAATCAGCATCTACAAATTTGAGGCCATGGTCCTGAACCGGAAAAGGGTGGAATGCTCTCTTCAGGTTGAAGTTGAGGTTCTGCCTCAAGTGGAGGAGTTCAAGTATCTCTGGGTTTTGTTCACAAATGAGGGAAGAATGGAGCGTGAGATCGACAGATGGATTGGTGCAGCGTCTGCTGTATTGCGGACTCTGTACCGGTCCAGTGTGGTGAAGAGAGAGCTGAGCTGTAAGGCAAAGCTCTCTGTTTACCGTTCGATCGACATTCCCACCCTCACCTATGGTCACGAGCTCTGGGTAGTGACAGAAAGAATGAGATCGCGGATACAGGTGGTTGAAATGAGTTTTTTCTGCAGGGTAGCTGGACTCTCCCTTAAAGATAGGGTGAGACGTTCAGTTATCTGGGAGAGACTCAGACTAGAACTGCTACTCCTCCACATTGAGAGGAGCCAGTTGAGGTGGTTCGGGCATCTGGTAAGGATGCTCCCTGGGCACCTCCCTAGGGAGGTGCTTTGGGCATGTCCAACTGGGAAGAGACCCCGTGGAAGACCCAGGACATGCTTGAGAGACTATATCTCTTGGTTGGCCTGAGAACGCCTTGGGGTCCTCCCAGAAGAGCTGGAAGAGGTGACTGTGGAAAGAGATGTCTGGGCCTCCTTGCTCAAGCTGCTGCCTCCACAACCTGACTTCGGAATAAGCAGAAGATAATGGATGGAATGGATGAATGAATGGAAAGTCTTAAACCCAGTCTTAAAACTGGACAATGTATCAACCTCACGGACAAAATATGGAAGTTGTTTCCACAAGAGAGGAGCCAGATAACTAAAAGCTCTAAAGTTGGACAAAAACTGAGAATAATGGCCTGGTGGACGATATATAACAACTTGTAAAAGAGGCCATTCAGATTTCCATTTAGGATGAGAAAGACTGTGAGACAGTGACTCAAAGGAATTATAACTAATAATTGGTTTGGTATTAATCAATAATCCTGAGCTGGCGAGCTGACACTGTTTCAATGGGGGTTTGGGTGAGTAACAGGAGAAGCAGCAGAGAGGTGTAGAGGACTACAACTCTGCTTCCTGGACTGGACCCTGGGTCAATAATTTAGAGGACAAACTAAATCGGCCTATTTTCTAGAAAGAAGAGCGGCTCCACTCAAAGTGGGATGGATGCCATCTCTCCACATCAGACCAGGTTTTCCCTGAAAAGCACTCAAGTTATCTACGTATCCCAGCACCTGTCAGGTGTGTTAACTGTAACGCTCACAGACTTTGCTCCTCCTCCTCATTCTGTCTGTTCATGAAGGTGGAGCTTCCGCTGCGTGTTGAGCGTCTGGTTCAATCGGTGAAGGCGCTCTGCAGTTCATTGGCTGCCGTGGAAACGCCCGATGTGACGTCAGCATTAAACCAACTCCCAGCATGCCCTTGTCGTCTGCAGCCCAAAGTCCTGAAGGTGAGTCTAACAGGTAAGAGATGATGTGCCACTGAGAGGATGCAGCTGGCTTTATCTGATTACCTCTTCCTATTTCCCAGGATGCTTCAGTGCTGGCAGTCAGAGAGAACAGAGGTACGAATACATCACAATAGTTTATTTTGTCACAGAGCCTGTCAGAAACATCTGGACCTAGCAAGTACTGTCTGATGTCCTCCACTTGCAGAGTCAGTGGTGGAAAAGCTGACAGCAGCCATCTTGGACCTGGTAGAGCTATACTGCAGCACGTTTAACGCCAATTTCCACACAACGCCTCAGAGTCGGAGCTTCACGGCTCCAGTGCAAGAGGCCGGCCTCGTCACCAATGTGCTGTCCTTCAACGTATACGCCGCTCACCGCGTCCCCATCACCTGGGCAGCCAGGTACAGCCAGACTAATGCTTCCACTGAGCATGTGCAGTTCGTCGGATGAGGCTGTAAGACTAGACTGGGTGAATTAGAGTCTGTGATCAGAATGTTTGTTGTGACCCAAGAACAGCTGAAATATTGAATCAGTATCTGGATGGACTGGAGTTTTAAGAATGGATCCCATCTCTACTGCTGCTGTAATCAAACACTGAGCCAGGATTAAAGACCAAGTCAGGATTAAAGACTGAATCAGAATTAAAGACA